GCCTGTGTTGTGCAATGCCGAAGAGGTCAGAAGAGAGCTTCAGATTTCCCTGGAACTCCTTAACTCCATTAAGGACAATTCATAGCCACCATGTAGGTGCTGAGAATTGAACCTGGGTCCTCTGCAAGAGTGGTCAGGCTCTTAACCGCTAAGCCATCTCTTCACCCCTCCCCTTTTTTTTGGTCTTTTTAAGACAGGGTCTCCCTGTAGCCCCAGCTGGCCTGGAACTCACTATGTAAGACGAGACTGGCCTCTAAGTCACAGAGATCCTCCTGCCTCTGTCTCCCAAGTGCTGGTACTACAGGTGTGTGCCACCATGCCCAGCACAAATACACAATTTAAAAAATTGAATTATTTTTATGTGTACAAGTGTGTGTATGTTTGCACAAGTATATGCATGTACGTAAGTGCACCTATGTCATACACAGGTCAGAAGACAGCATCGAATTCCCCTGGAACTGGAACTGGAGTTGTGAACAGTTGTTAGCTGCTGTGTGGGTGCTGATATCGAACCCAGGTCCTCTGCAAGAGCCCACACACACTTTTTTTTTTTTTTTTTTTTGGTACTTTGAGACAGGGTCTACCTGTATGTAGCTCCAGCTGGCCTGGAACTCTCTATGTACACCAGGCTGGCCTTGAATTTACAGAGATCCGCTGGAATTAAGGGCATGTGCCACCGCACCAGGCTCATTTTTTTTTTTTTTTTTTGGTCTTTTTGAGACAGGGTCTCACAGTAGCCATAGTTGGCCTGGATTTAGTATGGAGAACAGGCTGGCCTCTAACTCAGGGAGATCCACCTGCCTCTGCTAGGATTAAAGGCGTGCTGCCACCACACCCGGCACACACACACACACACACACACACACACACTCACAGACACATACATACACAGACTCACACAGACACAGACACACACTCAAACACACACACACTCACACACACACCCCTTATCTTGTCCTTGAGTCAGACAGTGGGGAGCTCACTATTGCAAGGCAAGGCTTTATTACTAGAGGGAGTTACATCACTGTTTTTCTTCCTTCTTTACTTCCTTCCTCCCTCCCCTGGCCTCGAACTCGCTAAGTAGGTGAGGATGACCCTGAACTTCTGATCCTTGTGGCACCACCTATTAAGGGCTGGAGTCACAAGCACGTGCCATCTACCAGGTTCAAATTCCGTATCCATCTCAGCAAATCCTTTTGTTAGGTGGAGGCAGCTGCTAAGGCTTCTCAGATAAAAGATGCCCTGCGGACTTCATCCTTCTGGCCCCTTCCTGGAGGATATTTCTGGTTAAGTGCTGCCTCCTGGCGGCTACTGTGCTGCCCAGCACCTTCCTGGCGTGGTGTAGACCACTTTAATTTGGGATCTGGAAGCTGATGCAACAGCTTCCCCGAGGGGGCGGAGAGTCTGAACCCTCCAGGGAGAGATAAAGCTCTCGGAGACCAGTCCTCCGGCTCGCAGCGGGCGCCGCTCCCTGACCCCGCTGCCATGGGGCTTCCTGGCCCCGGTTCCTCCCGAGACGCAGCCGAGCTCCCTGGCTGGAGGCAGGGGTTGCCCGGGGTAGGGGCTTTTTGCCCAGACCGCCGTCGGGCCGCCAGTTTGAGCTGGATTGGGAGGGAGGGAAGAGGAAGCTGAGTGCGCCTGGGGCGGAGAACGCGTCTTTAAGGGTATCCGCGGTCTCTTCCATATCCGCGGGGCAGTGCCGTCGGGGCTCGGGAGCTAGCAGGGGGTCGGCTTGCGGGGCCTCTGGGGGTCTCAGACCTTTGCTCCCCTCTGCCTGCACTCACCACCCTCCAGCGCTTTTCAGATCCTAGGGAAGGGACCGGAAGGGACGCCCGGTGGGGTGGATCCCGAGACACAGGCCAGGTGGGCGCCCAGCCTTCCGAGGGCATCCAGGGCCACAGTGGCTGGATCCGGTCTTGAGCGGCCAAGATCTTAGGGCTGCAGACACGGAACACCGACGAGGAGCAGCGAACCATGGGGAGATGGGCTGGCGGGGGGGGGGGTGTGTAGGCTGCAAAGTGAGTGTGGCTGGGGAGGGAGCGTGGGAGAAAAAGGAGCGAAGGTGAACCCGTGGGCGGAGGGGGATGGGCCGCATCTAGACCGCGGGTGTGGGCTAGAGCAGTGGAGGACTTCCCGGAACGAACGCTAGATGTGTGCCTTTTCGTTTTCCATTAGTGAAACAAAAGGCATTTTTTTCTTGGTATATGTCTATGTATTATTGCATGTATGTGAGTGTGGTGTGTGTGCGGGTACTTGTGTCCGTGCACGCCTGGTGTGGAGGCCAAAGGATGTAAGGTGTCCTGTTCTACCACTCTGCCCCATTCCCTTGAGACGGGGGCTCTCACTGAATCTGGAGCTGGGCTGGCACCCGCTGGCCTCAGCAGCACTCTTGTCCCCGCCCCACAGTAGTGGGGCCACGCCTGGGTTTTGATTTGATCGCCGAGATCACAACTCTTGTCCCCAAGCTTGGGCGGCCAGGGCTCCTAGCCACTGAACCGTCTTACCCACTGAGCTATCTCACCCTTTGAGCCATCTCTCCAGCCGCGACCTCCTCTTTCTTCGCCTTTCCTGCTTTCCCATTCCTCCTCCCCCATTTTTCCTTTACCCCCCCCCCCTTTTTTTTTTTTTTTTTGAGACAAATTCCGTGTAGCTTCAGACTCATGTAGTAAGACTGGCCTTGAACTTTAGAGCCTTCTACCGCCACCTCCCAAGTGCTGGGATTACAATTGCGATCCACCGTGTCTGGCTGTAAATTTCTGTTTGTGTGCTGGAGGTTGAACCCAGGGCCTTGTGCAGGCCAAGTAAGCTTTCCCAAAAGTCAATTCCGACTGATGTAGGCCTCTCAGTAAACTGAAAACCATACTTCTTCCCTTAAACCTATTAGGTTGGAAAAGATTAAGTACTTGTGAATACCATTTACTCTAAGGGGTCTGGGGATAGTAACACTAGATGGCCTGGAGGGCAAATTCAAGGACACACCCAGGAGCCCAGCCAGTTGGGAGATCTGAGAGGAATAGAATGCATTGTTCATTCATGGGCTTTTTATCTAGCACACATGTAGGGAGCCGCATGCTGGAGGGTACCATGGTTAACAAAGCTTTTGTGATGTTTATCTTCTATTGGCTGAGGTGACTACCAACAAGTAATAATGGGAATAAAAAATATCTCCAGGAAGAATGTTCCCTGCTGGGAGAACTGGCCACAAAAGCTCTGCAGGGGAAGCAAGCTTGCTGTGTGTGGCCTCAGCAGGGAGGCCGGCAAGGGAAAGCCTGCCACATGCTCTGCAGCTCTGTCTCTTCCTAGGACTTGGTTATTTGGGACCTGTCCCCAGAGTAAGATAAAAGGGCAGGCCAGCTGGGAAACATCCTAGGTCTAAAACAGCATTAAATTTTCTTTGGAGTAATTAAGATTTGGTGCCAACAAATTCTGATTTCTGTGTCTTTTTGTAGTGTGTAACTTGGCTCCCATCTAGAGATGCAGTCAGAATTCTTAAAAAATTTATTATTATTATTATTATTATTAGGCAGGGTCTCCCTGTAGCTCCAGCTGACCTGGAACTTGCTACCTAGACCAGGTTGGTTTCAATCTCATAGAGATCAGCCTGCTTCTGGCACCACACCCAGCTACTATTATTATTTAAATTTTTTATTTTTATTATTATACTTGTATGAGTGTTTTGCCTGCATGTATGTAAGTGTACCCATGTCATGCAATACCCTCATAGGCCAAAAGAGGGCATCAAATCCCCTGGAACTGGAGTTACAGATGGCGGTTAGTAGTGTGGGTGCTGGGGTCTGAGCCCAGGTCCTGTGTAAGAGCAGCCAGTGTTCTTAACCACTGAGCCATCTCTCCAGCCCCAAGACTTTTTGGAAATTAATTTAAATTATGTGGATGTGGATGCCTGTATGTGCGTGTGAGTACAGGTCCCTTCGAAATCCTACAAAGAGTGTTGGATCCCTTGGAACTGGAGTTACAAGCAGTTATAAACCACGTGATATAAGAGAACTCTGGAATGTTATGTGCTCCAGCCCTAGGTCAGAATTCTTGACTCCTTCCTTATCTGGACCACTTGCTAGAGTAATTTGCACCACGAAGATTTCAGGGTGTTGCCTGGAGACCAGCATACTGACAGTACCTAAAGGCAGCTGTCACACCTGGAATTGAGAAAATCTTGCACTGTGAAGTGCCATTCTCCAGGACAGAGATTTGTACTACTGTCTGTATTTTCAGTACTTTACTATTTCTACCTATGCTTCCAAAAATTGCATTTTTAATTTTCAATATAAAGAGGCTCACCCAGTTTCAATTAAAAACATTTTTTTTTATTACTGTAAGTGTGCGTGGGTACGCACATGCCATAGCACATAAGCAAAGATCAGAGGACAGCTTTTGGGAGTTGGTCGTCCCCTCCTGCTGTTCTAGGAACTGGACTGAGGTTGTGAGGCTTCCCTGGAAAGCACTTTTGTTGCTGAACCACCTCCCCAGTTTTTATTTGAAGACCGATATTTCCTCCTTTTCTGCCAGGTAGATATTCAACAGATACTTAAACAACAGTGGTTTGAAGGGGTATCAATTTATGAATCTGCCCAGGGTGCCACAGGCCTCCTTCGTTCTTACCTAGCAACTCGGGACTCACTTGTAACTCCTGAAGTCAGTTAGGGACCTGAATTGTGAGTGGACTTGTAGATAGCTCACAAATGCTTGGCTGTGCCCTCAGGTGGCCTTCATTGGTATGCATTGTCTTCCTTGGCTTGCCTTAAAGGCTACAAAGGCTCAGAAACTCTTGAGATAGGACTGCAGGATTTCATTGGTCTAACCGTGAAATCCTTGGTTCATACGCAGTAAACTCAGCCTGTAAGTGGGAGAGTAGGAAAGAGTGGAAGGGAGGTGGAGAGCTGTGGGAGGCTCAGGAGGGCACTTTAAATCCCCGGGAACATTTAAGGGCTCAGTAAATTAGGAAACAAGGAAGACTAGGGGCCGATGTAGGGAGGAGGAGCTAAGAAGCAGTGGGGAAGGTGCCTGGAGGCCAGCAGGCACTGAGGTCTTCCCGGTCTGACCGGGCAGTTACAGCTCAGCCCATCCCCTGGCCCCTCCCCGCTGCCGGCCAGAGTCACACATGTGTTTTCCTGTTTTCCATTTTGGTCGTCACCCTCTGTCTTTTCTGCTCCTCTGAGTCAACAGCTGCTGCAGCTCGAGTCATACCCCTGATTCTTTACCACCCTCTCCCCAGGGTGCTGTTAGCCTCTCTTTCCTTTGTACTTGCCCACAGGTCTCTGGACAGGTAAGAGGTGGGAAAGGAGGGACAGTGGGCCTGTAGGGAAGTACAGGAGAAGGATGGAGACCCAGGAGCCTTATTTGTTGGCCTTAGCCCTGGCTCTCTCTAGGCAGAGAACCTCCTACCCAGAGACTTCAGCTTTTAGTTAATGGAAACCTTGGCAATAGCAGTAAACAGTTTCTTTCTTATTTCACTTTTTTTTTTTTTCTTAAAAGGGACGATCTTAGCTGCAGTGGAATATAGAAAAACAAACGGAGAACTGGAGAGGGAGGGGCTGAGCAGCTAGTTTTGAGAGATGAATTATCCAGTCATACCAGCGCGTATCTGTTTTGCTTCTGTTGTTAGGGGAGGCAACACAGACAGGTTGGAGCCAGGGAAGGCAGGCCATGGTGGTCTCTGGGGGGAGAAAGTGTGTTCTCATAGTAGGTCACTGAGCTTGGCTGAGGAGCTGAGACTGGTTCCTGGGTCCTGGAGGAAGGGTGTTTTGGTGTTGCTGTTGGAGGGTGAGATCGGGATGCAGTACAACACTGGCTGGTGCTGTCAGATCCTGCATGCTCAAAGCCCTGCTACCTACTTCCTGGAACCCCTAAATCTGAAACCTCTTCCCTAGGCTGTAGGATCAGTGTATTGTTCTGGAGTTTTCATGACATCTCCACACTGAGCACACCTGAGAGAGGGGATGATGACACGGGGTACAAGGCTTCTGAAAACCAGGGCTTGTCTGAGTCATTTCAGGAGAGCCTGGAGGATGCTACCGTTCCTGACTGTCTGAACGGTGGGAGCATTATCCTGCGAGCCAGGGTCTTAGGGAGGAATGTGAGCTACCAAAGGCGGTGCCTTCTTGCCCATGGTGCTAGGCAGTGGTTGAGAAAAGAGGGGCACATTTCTGTGACCCTCCTGTGCCTAGTTGGGGAGAGTTGACTGGAGAGGTTGAAGAGGATTCCATTTGGAATACTTCCTGGCAAGACCACTAGGGTGTGCTGTTTGCTGGAGTATGGGTTCCAAGTGGGGCTGATCTGGGCAGACCCCCGCTCCCAGGGAATTCCTTGAGGATTTCACTGTCTTTATGTAAGTCAGGAACTGTGCGCTAGGCATTTCTCCCCTGCTCGTGTCTTCCTTTGTTCCTTTTCTTGACATGGCCTTTCAGCGCATGCCCCTTTGGTGCCAGTGAATTTGCTCTTAAAAGGGCAGGTATGATATGTGTTTGCGTGTTCTTTAGAAATCATAGAACTATGAGGGCTGTACTCCTCATCTTTGCTCAGAATGAGAAAGGGGGAGCGGCCAGAAGGCACGACTGCGCCTTCAGCCCTGATTGCAGAGGCTTTCTTTTCAATCTTACATTCTCCTCCAGGTAACTCAGCAGGGAGCCACCTGGAGTTCCTCTGAGAGACCAGGCAGGTCAGAGGGTAGGAGGTTGGGGAGACAGCATATTTCTGGTATTAAGAGTGGTATTTTAGCTGCCTGCGTCTCTCTGTCCTGGCACACTTCAAGGCACTCAATACTCCCCTCATGGGACTGCAGGGAGGGGCCAGTGAGATAATGCACTTAAATGCTTAGCAGTGTGTCTGGCCTGGGCAAGCACCCAGTGAATTCTAGCTATTACTATTATGGAAGCATTTTGTTGTTGGGGGTGGGGGTAATTGGGAGAAAAGGATTGTGTCCTCTGGATGGATTTCAGATATATGTGGGGCTGTCTTGGGAGAGGCAGGTCTTTGGGAAGGCTAGCCCGAAAGCTAGCTCCTGGTGCAGCTGAGAAATTTAAGGGGTTAGAATGAGAAGATGAGCCACAGAGTAATTGTCTTCAGAGATTTTTTTTTTTTTTTGAGAATAACCATAGATGTATAGGAAGGGTATAAGAAGGGACAAGCAGTTGGGTTGCAGAACAGGTGGGCTATCAAAAATGACCCAGAATACTAGACTTCAAGTAGATTATAAAGGTAGGGTAAGTAAACTGTGATTTCAAAAATGTGGAACTGTTTCGACTTGTTCTGGGTCTGTCTGTCAGTGAACTCCGGGTTCCACTTCTTTGGGGGGAGAGGGATTGGTAAACACACTACCATTGGGCTACACCCCAGCCCTCCATATATGCATGTGTATATACTTTAAATTTTTAAATTTTATTTATTATATTGTGTGCCTGTGTATATATGATGTGCACATGTGCAGGCATGCCGAGGTGTTTGTGGGAAGGTCAGAGGACAAGAGGAATCAGTCCTTTCCTTCAATTGGCTCCATCTTGCCAGCCCACTGTTTTTTTTGACATGGAATCTCACTCTGTCGCTCAGGCTGGTCTCAAGCTCATGATGATACTCCTGCCTCAGCCTTCTGAGTTCTGGGATTAGTGTAAGTCACTACTCCTGTCATATATATATATATAT